CACCGTCCATATGAATCAGAGGAAAATTTACCACCACGAGACTTTGATACCAGGACAGTGGTGGATCCTGGTATAGGTTTACTTTTAGCTAGGGTTCCTGATGGAAACGTCGGAGTCCTCAGCAACCCAGCAGGGAGGACGAATCCCTCCGCTGTGCCGCAGTCTGACAGCCAGGAACACCTCCTAGCCAGGATGGCACGGTAAACCGTTGGAGGATATATATGTATATGTAAATATATATAATATTATTTGTTTAACGTTGTTATTGTTGTTTCATTGGTGGATATTAAAGGTGTTCTATATAAAAAAATATTTAAGGATGTTTGCTTGATGTGATCATTGTACTGGACGCATCCGGAAGTGTAGAAGTGACGTTCAAACGTGAAAAAGAATTGGCTGCTGACATCGTGTCTCGCTTACGAATCGGGCCAAACAACTCTAGGGTTCGTGAAGAATGCTGACGTTTTTAGCTAGAAGTCGAATTCCATAATATTCACCATCAATCGATGTTGGCTCTTTTGCTCTTGGTTAAATTTCGGAACGGATAACGCTGATAGAGATGATGAATTTTTATAAATCCATTACAAAATAGGAGCATAATCTTCATACTTTGGGTTCGTTTAGCACATTTTCGATGTTGATTAAGCCGCTTATTGAGACTTATTAGGTTTGTTGAGAGTACTGAATCATCTACAGTGTAATCTATCAGAATCTCACATTGATGGTCCACATCTGTAAATAGAAGTAAGTGTAACTTAACTGCACAATAACTAAAGTGGATAAAAATCACGCAAAAGTCAATCGATAACTGGTCTTCCTTTGATGGTGCCGATCTATTGGTTGCTTGGTGGTTTAAAATAACTTTTACCCTCATTTAAAGGATATTTTCACTTATTTCTTCACATTTCTTCAGAAAGAAACGATTACAATCGAATTTTCATGGGTTTAAATTTTGCGGATTAACATGTTTTTAAATTGTTGACTTTACATAGGGTCGATAAACAGATTTATTCGACTGACTTTTCGACGTCTTCGTCTTCATCAGAGCCGACGATCCGTGTCGGTGATCCACAGTTGTCGTTATCTTCGTTGTGGTACCGAGACTGGATCTTCCTCAGTGAACACCGCACGAATGTGGCATGCACACTTCGTCCTTTTATACACTACGGTTGTTCTTCATATGGCTATCCACTGATTATAATTTGTTTTTAAACGGATAATCCACTCAGCAGCAGTCGGTATTAAAACAATTTTCAACAATTGATGGAGGGTGGATTATCCGTTGAAAAATAAATTATTATCAGTGGATGGCCATATGAAGAACAACCGTCGTGTATAAAAGTACAGTGCCGGGCGACCATGCCACATTCGTGCGGTGTTCACTGAGGAAGATCCAGTCTCGGTACCACAACGAAGATAACGACAGCTGTGGACCACCGACACGGATCGTCGGCTGTAATGAAGACGAAGACGTCGAAGCGTTAGCGGAATAAGTCCGTTTATCAACCTCGTGTAAGCTCAACAATTTAAAACATGTTGATTACGTTAACTTTTTACGTACTGCCTACTACAATTTTTCGCGGCGGAGCATCATGTGTGACACAACCACAGTGGTGCTGAGATATTTGCAAAACTCCGGACCGCAGGTGTCTGCGGTGGCAAACGAACGCGCTATTGTCCTTTCCGGGGAGTAACGAGTTTACCACCACACCATGCCGGTCTTTCGTCTAGCCTGTCTCTTAGATAGTTCTATCGATTAGTGCCATCAGCAATCACCAGTTAGAGGGATTGATCTGGGAAGCCCAACTCGGCATTGAACCCAGTTAAGCTTACGCTTTAGTTAAAGTCACAATGTTAACCTTCTATTTTCTGCTTATTGCAGTTATACACGGAAAGGGTAATAGCGCGTTCGTTCGCCACCGCAGACACCTGCAGTACGTGGTTTTGCAAATATCTCAGTATCATTACGTGTTGATCATTTTACTACCGAGGTTAAATGGCGGTCGGTTTGAAAATTGTTTTGTGGATTGATTTATGATCTTAATGTTATTCTTTCACAGGTGTCGATCATAAAGTTTGCTGGAGCTCAACAAGTGAAAACGGTGTGGTCGTTTGCTGATGTACAGTCTAAGGAAAGAATTCTTCGAGTCTTAGACAACGTTCCATTTAATTCCGGTACAACGGCCATCCATTCTGCGTTACTTAAGGTATTTTTTAGTCCATCCATCAACTGTCTTCATTTATCTTTTTATCGCTAGAAAACATTTCGTGCATTGTGTGAAAGATCTCTTTGCTAGCTGTTAATAGATTAAGTGGGATGATGGCGCAGTGGCAGTGATGCCGTTCATTACGAGCACGTTTGTTCAATTAAGTGCCCACCGAGCTCGCAACTCTCTCGGTCATCCGGGGTCAGGAATTTGGTAACAGACTTGTCTGGGAGCAGTTCACTCCTTGAAATTCAACTGAGAACTCCTTAGCACTGCTACCCCAGGGTAGTCGATTCACCGAGCGCTCAACGATTTTGAGAAGACGAAAATCCTCTGGCAGTGGCCGAATCCACACGTGAAATATTCGGTCTTTGTACGTAACCGATTCTCGGAAATTAACTGAATGCAACTGCTGGGATCACAGCAGACGTGAAGGTGGACTGTAGAAAAAAATTAATGAAGCGTGGAAATCCATTCTTTTCATAGGAACTCATACAAAACGAGAAAGATAGGTGAAGAAAGAAGTTACCAACGGTGTGTGTAATGGCCATCACTATTCTTTTTCTGGAGATCACCACAATTTACCATAGTTTGTTCTCTTCATTTGCATTAAGAGTGCAGTTTTGGATCTGGTCAAGCCAAAGGAGTTGTCCTTCCTCTCCTGATACTATGTCATTTATTCCAAATACGTGTTTATACGAAAAGACTTCGCATAGTGGACGGCGCTAAGCACCTCGTCCATTCTTTTCATCACATGCGTTATCCACAAAGGTCTTCGGATTTGCTGCTACCAACTAAGTACGTTGTCTTCACACATAGGCTGTTGTCGACCTTCGTAGATTGAGAGAACATTTTTCCAGACAATTTTAGCACCACTAAACCAAAGCCGGGGTGGGTTTGGAAACCTGATTGGTTTGGAGCGAAGTTGAACAAAGGAACAACCGCGGCACCTCCAATTAACGCCTTCCAAGTCCCATGCTATGTTAATATAGCATGCATCTCTAAGCTCCCATCAGATGTATGTGCATATATTTGTGTATGTAAGCGTGTTGGATGTATGCATATGTAATGCACATACTCATCAATATTTATATTTCTATGCGTTGAATGCGAACGGACGAAAAGAAGGTTTCTTTTAGGCGCTTTCGGAGTACACTTCAGATCGTGGAGCACGCCCAGGTATAGCGAGACCGATCGCGATTGTGTTCACTGATGGTTTTGCCCAAAAGCCGACGTCTACCGAGGCGGCGATGCTGAGGGCCGTCATTCCCGACACGTACGCGATTGCCATCAATCACAACGTGAGTCGCGGTAGTTAAACTAATAGAAATGGCACATAAAGCATTCAGAAAGTAAATGAACTAAATAGTGCTCAAGTGATTTATTAATCACAAAGATTCACTATCAGATTAGAAAACAATTTCTTCACGAAAGGAAGTCTGAGTCTTTCGAACTGAACTACATCTACGTACTGATAAGACTCAAAGGGTAAATAATATTTTAAGAACTGGTTTCGAACTAGGGTTTTACGTGTATTCAAGGGAATCAATACCACTAGGCTGCACGCTAGCCTATATTTATGGATGGTTTTGGGAAAGAAAGAACTGGCATGGATGTAGCACACCACAGTGAAAACTGTTCTCCTCTGGTTTTCTTTTCTTCAAATGCGTTTTAAATTAATCCAAATCCAGATGTCCTCCGTCATAATTTAGTAGTTCATTAGTTACCACAGACGCTGAAAGAACACGACATAGCGCCAGTGGATCAAATTTTATTAAGGCAAATTTAAAATTTTCAGTAATACTTAGTACTATACCTTTATATATATCATTTACTACACTAATATTTCATTTAACAGAGAGCTTAGCAGCTGTATGTATGAATTTCAGTTTCCCATCTCACGCTTTGAATTAGGGGTAATTGTCGGCGATCCGCAGCGAGTGTTCACTGACGCGAACATCGGAAAATTCCATGCCGTGCTGGACTCTATCGCTAGCGATTGCACATCGAAATAAGAAAGCCGGAATCCCTTAGGGATTAACTGGACGAAATCAACGTCAATTTGACGGAGTGTGGGAATTAAATGACCAGACAGACAGAAAACCATCTTGGTGTGTTCGTTCCATTTTCGTCACGTGATTTCTTCATCATTTAATTCCTATCCCGATTTATTTTTATGTTGAGATTTAATTACTAATATAACTAATTCATTTGTAATCACTACACAGAAACTAATAATAAACAATGACTCTTAATCTCTTAGACACATACGTAACTAACGTTCGTAATTTAAGTGATACTACTTAAGTTTGCTTTTTCCTATCAACTGAGATCTACATGACCGGTATATTTATTTATATGATCTTAACACTAACAGCAACGACAACTACAACGAAGACCGATACCAACCTCGCATTGGTTCAACAGGACCAGTTTATAAGATCATATAAGTAAATATGTCGGCTATTTATGCCGAGGTTTATAGCAAGTCGGTTTTTTGAGTTACTTGATCAGCAATTGTACCCAACAACTTTAAACCTAATTACCAGATCAAATGGTACGGAAACCTAGCATAGAGTGATCATTACAAATCTCCTCACGCCTACCGGTGTTTGTCATATTTTCGTTGTATACCATATATTATTTTCTAATCTCAAATATTTATTATATCTTCACGATCATATAAATTTAAAAATTACTATCAAATTTCACTCTTTACATGACTTAGATTGACACTGAAGACAAACACGAGACAATGTGATACAGACAATAGATTGGCAAACAAGAAGAATACTATGCCCAGATCTGAAACAAAGATTTTTCCTCACAAATAAACTTCAGTTCTCCCATAAACATTGGAATAGTTGTAAAAAACACACCCTTATAGTACAATCCCAACTGGCAGAACATATGGCTGTGCCATCAGGACTTGTTCGCAAACAACTAATGCGATTCTCGTGTCCGTAGAGAACCGAGTGACGAACACATTTAAGTGAGTCCCATATTCCGACACGGTAATCACCGTAGCCAGCGAAGAGAATACGACCTTAAAAATATTAACTACGCAAATAACGAATCCGAAATATTAGATCGAAGAAAGCTGATAACATACCGCTTACGCTAAAATCTACGCCATTAACCGGAAATAGTATTGACTCTTTCTCATAAACACATACTTGCCGATCGGCTCGAAGATCAAACAGACGACACTAAAATGCTTTCGATAGCCCAAGTACTGCAGTCAGTTTTCTAATATTTGAAACCAAATTACTAAAAGCAATAAAATCAAAAATAGAAGACAGTGATAATCGTGAAAAAGCAAAGGAACAAAGATTACCTATATTTTCTCACGAACTGCTCTTGTTGCATTGGTGCGAGGTTGGTTAAAGTTGTCGTTGTTGTTGTTGTTGTCCCTTTTGCTGTTATTCAATGGCTGATGTTTCGGCGATTTCGTCTCCCTCAGAGCCGTGCGGTTGCGAGTGGGAAAGTGGAATCCATTGCACGGCTCTGTGTAAAGCCAAATCGCCGAAACGTCAACCATCGAACAACGACAACTCTTACCAATCTCGCATCAGCTCAACAAGCGCAGCTTGTAAGAATATATAAGTAAGTATATCGACTATACGCCAAGGCTTATTTAAGGATCAGAGATTGTACCGAAGCATCATCTGATCCAGTAGCAAATGCATCACCATTCGGATGAAATCGAACAGTGTTAATATCCGCCTCATGACCTTCGAAAGACTGAAAGTATTCGTGTGAAAATATTCTCAACAAATTTCAACGTCATAAGAAAACAAATCACAAGTTCATATTGAGGTAGTCAACAAATTTAAAGATATTTTGAAAGAAATGGCTAGAATTTCTTGTAGATAAAAACCAACCTGTACACACTGGCCTGTACGAATATCCCAAACAAGCGAGTGTTTATCGGCTCCAGCTGATATGAAAACGTTACCAGTGTCACATTTAGGAACATCGATGGCAAACACGTCTCCAGTGTGCCCATGGAAATTTTGAATCATCTGCAAGATGAACAGTTCTTAAAAAGAACGGTGCGAATTGAGCAAGAATGAGATTTATCGACAGTAAAAAAAACTTCAGAGGCCAAAAATGGAATATCTAGCCACATGCTGTGAAGAAACTTAAGATTTACGCTAAGAAAACCACCTAAAACTAATGCGCTTCTAGATGAGGCATTACTAACTTGGATACTTGAATGACCCGTCCTCACTGGTTGTGTGGGTTCCAGCATAATCTCCATTTTTCGGAGTTTTGCTGGTTAGCTGTTGTGTTTCTCTGGAGTCTCGACGTCAGCCAAGCCAAATTCTGCTGCAACTCGTAACCACTACAATCAGTCACACAAAGATGGCTGTTCGAAACATGTTTCGCCCAAGCACTCTCTTTGTGCGTGAAGGGTATTGGAACGTCGGATTGTTTCACAGCTTGGAAGACCTTGACAGGGAGACGAATCCTCCGCTGTACATCACAGCCAGACACCCAAGAACACCTACCAACCACGATGAGGTAGTAAACTGGTGGGAGTTTAGTGCTGCACGCCCAACTTAAAGGCAGAAAGTAGTTTACAGGAATTGCAAAAATCTTAAGTACGAAAATCTCATCCAGACAGAATACATTCTATTGTAATACTCCTTGGAAAAGTACTAACAAATGTTGGTAAGCGGATAGAAAGGTCAAAAAAAGTTGTGACTAGCTCTAGTGGAATTATACAATATAAGACCACTGTTTAATCAGATTGAATAATGGGAGTTTAAAGTCATCTCTCAGGTGATCATATTTTTAAAACAAGGGAAAGAAAATACGAGAAAAATGAGAAAGTGAATGGCAATATACGCGCTAAAGCAATTTAACATAAACATTTGTGATAGTTTCAATACTTATTTACTTGGATACCCGCTGCCACTGATTGTACGAGCCCTAGCACTATTTCATTTTTTCGGAGTTTTGCTGGTTTCGCCATTGTAGTTCCCTGGTGTCCCGAGGTCATCCAGGCCAGTCTGCCCCAGGTGGCCACCACTACATGCACTGGTTGCCGTTGTGGATTAGAGGGAGATTTGCAACCATGCGACTAGTTTGATGCCAAGACGGTGGTTAATCCTGGTAATCGTTTACTCTTAGCCGAGTTTCTTGAACCAAATATCAAGCTCCTTCTCAGCTTGGGAGACCTTCCTGGAGGATAAATCCCACCGCTGGACATCGTAGCCCGACACCCAAGAACACCATTCAGCCACGATGTGGCGATAAATCGTTGAAGGCGTTTTTCAATGACCGTGGACAAATCGTCAACTACTTGAAAATTTGACCAACTCACAATATTAGCATCGCTTGTTACCCTATGGATATGAATAATCCCTGTAAAATTTTATGCCCCTCTTAGCATTTGGTTAGTCAATGAACAAAAAATAACATTTAGAGTTCTTTACATGGAAGTCCTTTTTTCTCTTTCCTTTTTGTGACGAAAATGAGGCTCGTATCTCGAGAAGAGAATTTGGTGAAGACGTGCGATTTCGTCGAACAAGAACCGATGTTGGCAAGTTTTACCTTATTAACATCATATTCAACTAGAAAAAATCCATATATGCAAATAAACCCTAGAATAAAAGTTTAGGTCACTTCTAAAAATTTACAGAAGAGATCCCTCCAGCCACTGAAAAAAGCAGAAACTTGTGAATCGGTTAGAAATGGTAGAAAGCTACCTGTCCACTTTCCACATCCCAAATAGCACAAGTGGAGTCGCCACTTCCAGTAAGTAATAGATTATCCGAACGTAAGAACATACAACAACTCATGTAGCTGGTGTGTGTAGCTACACACCGCTTTTTCTGCAAAATGTCATCTTCGAAAGATAACGGGAAAACGCTGCATTTGTTGTCCAATCCTCTAAAATTAAACCATTTTAACGAAGTGGTTGTTAGAACAAAAATTCGAGAAATATCCAGTTGTGAAAAAAACTAAGGTGTAAAGAGAAACAAACCCGCAAGCGATAAGCTGACTACTTGGTGAATAAGCGCAAGCCATGACCCACGTAGTTGGCATAGTTACGGCGTGTTCCTTATTTGTTGTGAAACCGTCCCAAACAATCACCTTACCATCCTGGATAGAATCACATTGAAATTTGCAAAAATAAAAGCGGACAGGAAACAGGATGAGAACAAAGAAAATGACCGGCAGAATAATAATACAATATAATATATAACATATATAATACGAATATATATGATATAATATAAAATGAATATATGATATAAAATAACATAACATAATACAATCCTCTCAATCTTTTACCGCCTTATCGTGGCTGGGAGGTATTCCTGGGAGTCGGGCTGCGATGTACAGCGGGGTGATTCGTTCCCCCGGGAGGGTCTTCCACGCTGAGAAGGAGTCGAGCGTTTCCATCGGGAAGCCTGGCTAAGAGTAAACCAATACCAGGATCCACCACCGTCCTGGTATCGAAGTCGCAAGTTGGTAAATCTCTCTGATCCACAAGGGCTGCTTCTGACTGTGGTAGTGAAGACCTGGGGCAGACTTTGGCCAGGCTGTCCTCGGGATTCCATGGAACCACAATGGCTTCACCAACAAATCTTCGAAAAATGGTGATTATGCTGGAGTCCGCACAACTAGTGATGACGGGCAACTCAAATTCAAGTAAAAAGTAATAATACAACATGAATAATACAAGACTTAGGTGGTATATAATGCTGAGATATTTGCAAAACTCCGGACCGCGGGTGTATGCGGTGGGGAACGAACGCACGCTATTGTCCTTACCGGGGAGTAGCGCATTTCACCACCACACCATCTGAATCCTTCGCTTTACCTGTCTCTGGGCTAGTTCTATCGATTCTTTGCCATCAGCAACCACCCGTCAACGGGATTGATCTGGAGAGCCTAAATCGGCATTGAACCCAGTTAAGTTGAGGCTTAGTTATAATCACAATCTACTGTGCGCTACTCCCCGGTAAGGACAATAGCGCGCGTTCGTTCCCCACCGCACACACCTGCGATCCGGAGTTTTGCAAATATCTCAGCATTATATACGAGCTATATTTCGCAACACACTCTGCCATTAAAAAGAAAAAGGCAGTAAATAAAATGGTTAAGACAAGACTTAAGGTCGACGGAAAACTAGCTGAAAGACAGGCGAAACGAAAGACCAGCATGGTGTGGTGGCGAACGCGTTAGCCTCCGGAAAGGGTAATAACGCGGTAGTTCCCCACCGCAGACATCTGCGGCCCGTAGTTTTGCAAATACCTCAGCATTATTACGGTTGTACTTCACAAAACTTGGTTACGAGACAGGTTGTTCTAGACATCGAAATACTTTCTCACAAAATAAAACGACAACAATAACGGAATCGTCTTCGTATTATCACTAAGAAACTCCTAACCTGTGATGAGCTAACAATATGCCTTTTGTCGAGCGACCAATCCATACAAAGTACTTTGCCGGCATGACCTTTAAGGATTCGCCGTTGCTTAATACCAAGGTTTGGCAATGGATCCAACCTTTCCGCTGCTTGTTGAACTGAAAAAGAGTACTGAATACAACCATCCAAAAATAGAAGTGTACCAAAAAAGGCTTTACTTGGAATGTCGTTAAGTTTTTGTCGCTCCTGATCGAGTTTCTTTCGCAGTTCTTCAGCTTCCTTGGCCAACACCTCTATCTGATCTCCCTGTCTGGAAACGTCAAATATTTCAGCACCATTTAATGTAAAAACTAACGAAACTTACGAAATATCATGCAATAAAAAATACCTGGCCGCTGCATCCACTGCGCTAACAAATGGTGCTGCATTTTCGGGCATTTTTGTGTCCTTCGAAGTTGACGGCTTGTCCTCAGCGCTCATTCGTTAACGACCAACTGGTCTAACTCATCCCAACTTTGCTATAAAGCAATGATGTAGCACAGCCATGAGGAAATATTCGAAGTTGTATCGAAAATATAAAAATTTTGTTATCAGGAGTCGAAAGGAGGCTTAAGTGCAGACTCAAAAAGTTGACTACATTATGTATTACCTTTAGCGTTACAAAACTAAAGCTAATAAGGAAATATACTCCCAACGGTCTACTTCCTCATCGTGGCTGGGAGTTGTTCCTGGGTGTCAAGCTGCCATGTACAATGGGGGATTCATCCTTCTGGCAGGGCTTCCCAAGCTGTGAAGGAGTCTGGAGTTTCCACTAGGAAGCCCAGCTAAAAGTAAACCAATACCAGAATCGACTACAGTCCTGGTATCAAACTAGTCGTATGGTGGTAAATCTACCACTGATCCACAAGGGTGACGACTACCTGAGATGGTGACGACCTGAGGCAGACTTTCGTCTGGCTGACCTCGAGACTCCAGGGAACCATAATGGCTAAACCAGTAAAACTCCGAAAAAACGGAAGTTATGCTGGGTCCCGTACAACCAGTGAGGACGGGTCGTTCAAGTATCCAAGTATCAAATAATAAGAAAACATTCTGTCTCGGATGTCTCATTTAATGCAGTAAATCGCATGATATAAGGCTTTAGCGGCCTGAAGAATGAAAGTTTCTCAACGAGAAGCATGAAGGAGCCACCGAAGTGTCGGGAGCAATCGGAACAGTTCGGATTTTCCAATCGAAATTGGAAAGAGCCAGGATATTGGTGAGAATAATCACTTTCAAAACAAGAACAAGTCATGAAACAAAAACTTTAAAAGGCAAGAAAAAACTACCAATAAGTTCTAATGAAGAAAAACCGAGGCACCCTTCTTTCCTTAATGAATCCAACATAACCGAGAAACCGATCTGGCACTGCACATACTTCATACCTAAGTGTTCACGATGACGTCATCGTCACCGTGTTTCAGAATCGATGACGTCATCGTAATGTCATCATGCGAAAAAGTGGGAACGAAGGACGACGGCCACATAGGGAGGTCGGCGACATGATCGGAGCTGCTGGTTAGCACGACGAGACGCGACGCAGGCCGGTCGCGTTGCGGCTTGGGAAATGCCGTCGATATGCCGCGCTCAAAGTCGCGGGACATCCGAGCGTGGACAGCTGGACGGCTGATTGGTAGTGTTCTGTTCCGTTGACGACATTGCGCATTGATTTCAACACGTGCGCTACTGTACGATTCGGACGGTACCTCTTGATTTCAATGCGCATTTCGATTACGCGCCCCGACGAGCCAGACATGCGTAAATGGCTGCGGTCGTGGAATGGTTGCATCTGAGGTCAATAAATTACTCATAGTATTCTGAGTATGATAGATTTTGATGACGAAACTTGCTCGATTAGTGGTAAGCTGTTTTAGCGATCGAATTCATAACTTGTGTTTCAGAGGGTGATCACCTGTATCAGCTGTACTCCCGTTGATCGTCGAGTGACTCGAGCAGGCGCCAGTAAATCTTCCATTTTTCCCTGTCGTGTGCGAGAGTAGCCCAGTGGGTTCTGCTCGCTCTAGGGACTCGTCCAGCATCACATCTTTCTTCTAGGCTGTTCGTGAAAAAATCTGACCATCGGGTCGGTGGTCGACCGTATGGCGTACAGAGCAGCACCGTTGATTTTTGATCGTTGAAGCAGATCGGATCTTCGGATCCCATCCTTTACGTGTGTGGAACGGGATACTTCTAGCATCGTCCTTTCGACTGCGCGTTCGATAACGCTGAGTGATCTTCCATCCTGCTTACGCACCGACCAAGTTTCTGACGAATACGTTAGAGCAGGAAGTACCGTTGAGTCGAAAGTGTGGGAACGGAGTCGGGTGTTCTTTGCCCTCTTCACTACATCCTCGATGCTCCTATAAGCTCTCTAAGCCGCTCGTTTCTTTCTGCTCAGCTCTGGAGCTAGGTTGTTCATCATATTGATTTCCCAGCCTAGATAGATATAACTGGAGCATTCGGACATATTCGTTCCGTTGTGAGTGAATGGGGCATACGGAACCAATCCGTTCTTCATGAACATCGTTTTTGTGAGATTTAGTCGAAGACCAATCTTTCCACAGGCTTTATCAAAGTCGGCAAGCATACGTTCCGCTTGGCTAATGTTTGGTGTTATAAGGACGATGTCATCAGCAAAGCAAAGATGATGTAACTACCGACCATCGATTTTCGCTCTCATATTATTCCATTCCAATGTTCGCATGACGTTCTGGAGGGTGGCGGTAAATAATTCTAGCGAGATGGTATCGCCTTGCCTAACTCCTTTTTTGACGTCAATGTTAATATCGTTGAAGAATGGTGATATCTTGGTTGTGAAATTTTTGTACAGTTCACGAAGAATCTTTATGTACTGAGTAGGGACTTCTCGACTATCAAGGGCTTCCATGACTGCTTCTATCTCGGTTGCGTCAAAGGCATTCTTTAATTCGGTGAAAATGAGACAGAGCGTGTACTTTCGCGATACTTCAATGAGCCGTGTTACAGTGTGGATGTGGTCCATTATACTAAATCCTCTTCGAAACCCTGCTTGCTCACATGGCTGTCCTTCGTCTAATGTTCTGTCAATTTTGCTTAGGATAACTCGAGTGAAAAGTTTGTAGACTACAGACAGTAAGCAGATTGGGCGGTCGTTGCCGATATCGTGTAGGCCACCCTTCTTGAACAATAACACGGTCTTGCTGGTCTTCCACTGAGTGAGGACCTTGAATTCAGACAGGTAACGTGTGAAGAGCCGAGCCAGTGTGTTTACGAGGGCTGGCGGAAGGTTCTTCAGGTGTTCTGATCTTATCCTGTCCGGACCTAGTGCTGTTCGATTTTTCACCGACGAAATGGCATGTCGGATTTCGCAGGGGAGAACCGGTGGTACAGCATATCCATCCTCCTTTCTTTCATATGACGGAAGGTGGACGTGGCTATAGAAGAGATCCGAGTAGTATTCGTGAATAATTTTCCCCATCGCCTTTCTGGACGCGGTAACTGTTTCGTCTGGGCCCCGGAGTGCAATCATTTTGGTCTTGTGATTGGCGAAGCTTCGGTGGGCTTTGCGAATGCTTTTCCCAGTCTCTGCAACTTTGACCATTAATGCCGCTCTCCTCTCTTTAAGATCTTCTTTTACCACCTGTCTGCATTGTTTTACAAGTTCGGAAGTTAGTTTGCGGCTGCCTGCAGCTCATGCGATTCCACGCTGGGGTATCAGCTCGAGTGTTTCTGGAGACAAACTTCTTTTGGTGACTTTCGAATTCTCAACTTTCATAGCTCGTCGATGTTATCGACAACGGCATCTTCTCAACAGTGGACTAATAAATTCAATAAGTCCCAGTTTGCGGGGGTTCTAGGACTTCGGTTTTAGAATTCAGCGGCTTTTTTTCCTTTGTACGAGAAATAGAATCTTGCACGAAGGAGACGATGGTCTGATCCCGTGTACAATTTTGATTTTGGGACAATAGCGACATCGGTTAGGCAAAACCTCCTCTTTAATATGATGTGGTCTATTTCGTCATGTTACTCTCCATTGCGGGATTCCCACGTCCAGCGATGAGGGTGGGGCTTCTGGAATTGCGAGTTACCATGGATTGTCTTGGTCGTCATGATAAACTCAGACAACCGCTCACGCTGCTCTTTCCATTCTAATCCGTGGGCCCCAATGTCACGTTCTTCAGATGTTCTTCTTGGTCTAAGCTTGGCGTTGAAATCTCTAATGATGACCTTGAAGAATGTGTGGTCTTCTCTCTAGAACTTCTCCAAATCCATATAGAACGCTCCGACTTCTTCTTCGCCATAGTTTGATGTCGGAGCGTAATCGACGAAGATTGTCAAAGCCGATATTGATCCCCGTCTTTTTAATCGTAAACGTCCGATTCGGGTTGTAATTTGTTGGAATGAATCGATGTTCATGGACGAACTCGTGTTGACGAGAATGCCGACGCCGCCGACTCCTCTACTGTCGCATGTTCTGAGGAACAGTTCTTCTCCGGTGTCTTAGACGGCGTTGAATGGGTGGTGTCTTGTCGTCTCAGCCAGGCCGATGACGTCGTGACTTTATCCTTCTTGCTTGCATGAGCAAGTCCTCTATCGAGGGCTCGGGTTCAAGTGTACGTGTGTTGTAGGTACAGATTGTCACCATAGTTCTTCGTAATCCAGGCAGCTTAACTGCCTCCTATATACTTCCCAGTCACTTGATTGCAGACTTTTGGCCGAGTTTACTCCTAGAATACAATCCGCATAAGCGAGAACGCACCCACACACCCATGCATGAATACGCCTAGCATATGCAGAAAGTATGTGCCAAATCGACGCAGCAGGAACAGGGAGTCCATCCGCTGGACCCACCTGCGTCTCAGGGAAGCAAAGGTCACTTTTCGTCTGCGATTAGCCCCCTATCCACCTCCTGCAGACGCACCACGTAGTCTCGCGACTCACCGGCTCGAGATCTCTCATAGGGAGATTTGTGGTCAGAGGGTCATATAGGTCCTTAAACTGAGAACAGATGTGTTGTGTATATTAACAAATAATAAAGGATAAAGCTCTCGGTATTGATCAATGCCCTACGGATGCGCCATGTATTCGATTTTATTAGGCATCGTTGGAGGTGCTTGAATGCATATCTCGCCTTTACAATGACTTGCGGTGGCCTACCGATGCATCGAGCCAGTGCTGCTATCTTCCCAGACGAATCTGGTACCAATTTTCCGACCTCGGAGAGATGGAAGTCTTGGTGAGCCACGGACCCGGGGATCAATCCCAGACGAGTATCGGAGGACGCCTCCGATCACTGCACCACACGCGCCGTTGTGTTGTTGTATAATACTCGCTTTAATTTCACAAATAATATTAATTCGATTTTCACCAAGCGCTGTTTTTGTAAACATGAACGTCATAGTGTTTGCTATGATGATCAAACAATTCTAAATTATTAATTAGGTAGATATTTCACTAGTAAATTGGCTTTTGAAAATCTGACGACAGAGGAAAATCAGCCACTGCGTGAAGATCAACAGGACGCTGCTACAGGTTTCTAATTTGAAATAAAATTGCCAACCACGGACCTCAAATTATGAGATATAAAATAGGTTCCAATAAAGAATTATAGCCTTCTTTTGTTGATAGAAAAGAGATAAAGCTCTCGGTGTTGATCAATCCCTGAGGGATGCGCCATGCATGCGACTTCATGAATCACCGTTAGAGGCGATTGAATGCATGTATCTGGCCTTTACAATGATTCGCAGCGACCCACCGATGTATCGAGCCAGTGCTGCTCTCCTCCTAGACAGGACTAGTATCTGATAGGGTTATGAAAGTGTTTAGCTAAGTAGATCGTATGTCAATTTGAGCCTTCTAAGCTCTGAAGAAGGAGAAATTGCCGAAACGTCAGCTATTGTATCCTAATAAATTCTATAATACCAACCTCGTGTATGCTTATTGAAGATAAACATCGAATCATCAATCAATGCCAGAGTTAAAATAAAGTCGGTCTTAGGTCTAGTACTAGTTTGACAATCCCAGAGGGATGGAAAAATTGATGAGCTTGGGGCGCGGGAATCGATCCCATGTGTATCTCAGGGCGCCTTTGACCACTGCGCTACAAGCGCCTTCGTTTGTTGATATGAATTAAAAGGAATTGTTCTACGGCCAGTGTAATCAACTTAAATAGACTGAGATTTAATTCTTACGAGACATTTCGCTCTGACTTCAGTATGTCCGCTGGTTTACAGACCATGCGTGTTGACATCGACGCGCTTCTTTTTTCCCGATTTCTTTTGTCGCATAGGACTTCTTCGTCAACAATTTTGTGGACAATCAATAGATTATTGAAAATTAATAACAGCCTTCATTCGTGAGATTGCCTTATGTGTGATGGATTTAGGAAACCAAGACCATCTCCTATAAATATTTGAATATTTACAATACATGGAAGGTCCTTGGTTCGATTCCAGTTAGACCAAGCCGTCCATCTATCAGCGGGAAAATTGGTGCCTGATCAGTCCGAGAAGACAAAAAACTGATTTTCTAAATCAGTATGCTTTCAGAATTGATTTTTTAAAAAAGATTTGTATCAAATCACCCTTGTGATGCTACGAATCGGATCGAATGCGCGATAAGCTGCAAGACAGCTGGTAGCGATGTGATTGCCTGATGGATCATAGTGATCTTCTACAGCTGTAGCATTTTCTCAGCCTCTCGATTCCTCTAGTTATTAAAGAATTATCCTGCTTTCTAAAAACCAGTATGTCCATAACTAGTACGAAATTTCAAATAATGCTGACTGAGGAAAAGCAATAGCTGAACTGTTCACGTGTTCAGTGAGTATGCGAGGATCTCTAACAAATAGAGATGGAGGTATTAAAGGACATCGTCAACAAAATCAGAAGTCACAAGACGTTCTCCAATGCAGCGATGCTTAACATCTGCGCGCTATTTGGCTTGGCCTCGAACTTAAGATTATGTTTTTTTATTCTACATAAATCTTTCTCACAGTTACTGTTTGGATGCCAGCAGTTCTTGCATTCGAGTCATCTCTTTGCATCCACCATCCGCGAAGATCTTCCAGACCTTTTGCGGGTGGACTCAGCCACTGCTTGATAATTTTCGCCTTCGTTATGACTGTCGTTGAATGTTGTCGTGCAGATGCTTCCTGGAATTCTATGATATCTGTGCGAAAGCGTTGCCACGTATACTGGAAGATTTAGCTGATTTCAAAGAAGTCTGGCACCAATTTTCTGACATGGGAGGCTTGGTGAATCCGTGGCGGGATCGAGGTAGGACCCTGCTCGTGACGGACAAGATCATAATCACAACGCTATTTGCTCTGCACAATGGTGCACGGGTGAAAACTTGATTACCATAGTTCCAGATCTATTTTTTGTTCTTTTCAGCACTTTATTTCGGTCTCCTTCATGATCTCAAAATTCAGCTCGTCAATCGACTATATAACTTCCTTGATTTCGAATTCCACTTGAAAAAACAAGGCATTGTTTTATTTAAAGGGTTCTGATACCAACAAATTATGTTTGAAAGAAGAATGCTGAGAAAGTGTCGATCATAAGACATGACTTATTGTTAGAAGAATTCTATGTTTGCGGTAGAATATTGTTCGAAGCAATCAGTTTCCAGTGGAAGACATCAATATGTTTCAAGAACAAGGATGATCACGAATAAAATGAAAAGAAAAAGTAGGAAATGCTGAATATGTACAACGTAACATAGAAAGACAATTCGCTAAAGCTAAAACTGTGATGCTCGATAGAAGCTGGGACGACGATTACCAGAAGGAGCAGAAGACGTATAATAGCGATCTTCAGCCGAATAAATGATGTTGTCACCACCGGCGTCGTCGGAGAATGAGCGAGTACGACGAGGTAGAGGTGAGTCGTGAACCCTGATTGGATGTCTGGTGACTTGTTTGGATGTTGATGAAGACGCTAAACTGAAGTAGAGTGTTAATCTAAAGACAATATCTTCATATCTGACATAAAATCGTACGCATACGAGATATAGGAATAACCAATCTGCTTTCAAGAACTACATGGAGATGTAGTAACCTTGTCAATTAGTCGCCTTCATCCAGCCTGTTACTGATTACACTAAGCCGGGAAGTCCGTCATATATGATTGATGACTGGAAACGGGGGTTTTAATGGGACATCCTCAATACTTTGTAGCGTCAGAGTCAATTTTATCTAGACGACATTCCTTATAAATATGTCAACTGCACACACGTCACACAAAAATCAAAACAGACTATATGGTTGATGGGAAGGTTATACAGTAAACTGGGTTTTAGAAAATAATTTGGAGAAAATGTTACTGCGAAAGGCAAAAAAGTTAGCGAGGTACAGTATTAACATACGGTTTAAGGATATTTTCAACGTTTTAACTGCTTGGTGACCCAAAACATTTAGAAGCCGACCAGATCATGCCTATAGGAGTTTGTCTTATGTTGTTTCATTCATCGTGACATGTATAAGTATTATTTAAACTATTTTTCATTGTACCTGGATTGCCGCTGTTCGTGGTGGTGTTGGTGGTTCTGGTCTTTCGTTGACGACGTTGACGTAAACCGAACCAACCCAGGAACCAGATACCGGCAAGACATACGCACGGTATACAACAGCATACTAACAATAGTGAAACACCCAGAATTATGCCGAGAATTCGTCCAGCATACCAGAAATCACCATCGCTAAACAAAGTATTTATTGCGATTTTAAAGATAGGGAGGAAGAGAGGGTGGTATGGAGGGAGGGAGAGAAAGAGTGAGAAGAGCAAGTACAGTTGAACTGGGTGTGACAGAGAGACAAAAGATAGAGAGAGGAGAAGACGCAGAGAGTAAGGAGAAATGGGACAGACACACAGTCAAATAGTTGGTGTTTACTATCTATCGCATGCATAATTATTTCTTTGCATGGGCTTTTTTTCTGGCAAATTAATCGAAAAAGGAACAAATCTATTAAATTCGTACCCTGAATAAATTATTCATGAACATGGGGATCTTCTATTTGATTTATTTGCAGAAAACCATTTGTTTTTTTCCTTTCATATATAATACACCCCAACACACCCTGGCCCCGCTTCGACCATTCTCAGGCCCATCAAGCCTCTCATCTCTCTAGGGGTGAGAAAGCTGGTAGCATTGTTGTCCAGGGCAAGCAGACTTCTTCTAATCCTCAGAGATACCTCAGCGCGGCTATCTCAGAATCCCAGGAAGAAGAATTGACTCGAGCAGCATTCAATGACATTCATGACGAAGACGAAAAAATTCTTAAACAGCGGTCGAATCCAGGCGCAAAGTTCGAAGATATTCGTTGGTGGCGTATGCGAGGAAATGAATCGAATGCAAGAAGTGTTGGAACCCGCAACTGTGTACTTGATAGTTACTTGATACTTGAACGGCCCGTCCTCACTGATTGTGCGGACCCTAGCACAATCTTCATTTTTCGGAGATTTGCTGGTTAAGCCATTATGGTTCCCTGGAATCCAGAGGTCAGCTTGGCCAGTCTGTCTCAAGTCTTCACCACCACAAGCAGTCACGACCCTTGTGGATTAGAGGGAGATCTGCCACCGTTCGAGCTTGATGCCAAGACGGTGGTGGATCCTGGCATTGGTTTACTTCTAGCTAGGCTTCCTGATGGAATCGTCGGACTCCTTCTCAGCTTGGGAGATCCTGCCAGGAGGACGGTTCTCCCATTGTACATCGTAATCCGACACCCAGGAACACCTCGCCGCCACAATGAGGTGGTAAACCGTTAGGAGGAATTGTTTACTAATAAACAAATAGACGATAGATATGCTAACTATGCTTAAAAGGCTTGTACCCTTGCGAAAGCTTACTTATGAAAAAGTTAGTGTTTTTACTCACCCAAAAAATTCTTCTAGTAGTTTGGGTTAACCCGAAGCGCGGAATCGAACCAAAGATCACGTGTTTACTGCAGGTCACATGTAACCGCTGCGCTACGCTAGATTTATCATTTAATGACATACTGTAGACTTAATTCAATCACTGCAATAATGCTGAGATATTTGCAATACTCCGGACCCCAGGTGTCTGCGGTGGGGAACGAACGCGCTATTGTCCTATCCGGGAGTAACGCGTTCACACCACACCATGCGGGTCCTTCGTTTCGCCTGTCTATCAGCTAATTCACGTTTCGCCTCAGCTAGTTCAATCACTACAGTTCAAAAAATATGTGTTTGTGGTTTGCAACTTAGACTTCATATAGTGTTTAAAGTTAATAGAGTTCATTTGTTCACGTAGCCCAGTAAGATAAAATAATGACTAACGCCAGATACGTGTATTCTAATTTTTCGCTTTTTTCATGTAGCAAATAGGCACGTGTAGCGCAGCGGTTAGGAGCACCCTTCAACACACCTAGGATCGATTTCCCCCACCCCCCCCCTGACTCACCAAGCCCTCCACCCTTCCGGATCGGTAAATTGGTACCAGATTTGTCTAGGAGGATAACAGCACTGGCTCGATACATCGCTAGGCCATGGCGAGTCATTGTATGGGCCAGATAGGTATTCAGTCACCCCTGAAGATACTCAATGAAGTCGACTGCAGAGCGCATCCCTCTTGGTTTGATCAATGCCGAGAGCTTTATCCTTTTACAGCAAACGAACAGCGGTGGATTAGGAAGCTACATTCTAGCATTCTATCCACGGATGAGTTCATTGTTTGTGATTGGTATAAAATGCGAATTTATGGAATATTTTTGTCAAGGATTTAAACAGTTTTCTGTAGACGATTAGCGCTGAAATTATTTAAAATAGACTTATTGTAGATAAAGTATGTTTTTTATGCACTGGCACTAGAATGTTAATAATTTTTACTTTACAATGGTTAACGATTAGGCAATTTTTATCTTCTTCAGAAACGCTTTTTGTGAGTGCTAAGAATACCATATTCCTACGAGACCACTTGTGTAGGGTTGAGATGGAATAGGCTTAGCCAGACGGAGCGAGCAGGAAAACTAGCCACTATGGAGTAAAAACCATACCAATAATCTGAGTCTTCTAGCACAGTGGTTAGAAATGCTCTGTACTACACATGTGGTACTTGGTTCGAACCTGCATCCTGGGGCCATCAAGCCTTTCATCCTTCTGGGATCGGCAAATCGGTACCAGATATATTAGCATTGATAAAAACGCCACTGATTTGGTAGGGCCACATAGGTTACTCCATATCCAAATATGCATTCAAGCAGCTCTACGCTAGTATAAATGGAGTGCAAAGCTTTGAAGATCCATGATGGATTAATCAACACCAAACGTGAGCCCATTGCTAAAAACATCTCGTCATCTTATCAGGAAATACATAACCTACTGCTTACTGACGAACTCAATGGAGAGTTAGTGCTCCGGAATTATCTTTTACAGATAAACACTAGACGGTAAGGATTAACAGCGAATACTACTTACTTGATAATTTTAACTTATTATTTACTGCCTACTCTTTTTAACGGCCGGGTATACATTGTGAAATATAGCTTCAATGATGCTGAGAAATTTGCAAAACTCCGGACCGCAGGTGCATGCGGTGGGAAACGAACGCGCTATTGCCATTTCCGGGAAGTAGCTCGTCCACCACCACACCACGCGGGTCCTTCGTCCCGATCCTGCTGACGGATGATTCCTGATGGCAAAAGGTCGATAAAACTAGCTGAGAGACAGGCGAAACGAAGGACCCGCGAGGTGTGGTGGTGGACGTGCTACTCCCCGGAAAGGACAATAGCGCGTTCGTTTCCCACCGCATACACCTGCGGTCCGGAGTTTTGCAAGTACCTCAGCATCACTGAAGTTATATTTCACTTACTTGATAGTTGAACGGCCCATCCTCACCCGTGGTGCGGACCCCATCATAATCACCCTTTTTTGGAGATCTGCTGGTTAAGCCGTTGTGGTTCCTTAGAATCCCGATGACAGCCTGGCCAAAGTCTGCCTTAGGTCTTCACCACCACAGGCGGTCGCAGCCTCGTGGATCAGATGGGGATTTGCCACCATGCGACTTTGATACCAGAACGGCGGGGGTTCCTGGTATTGTTACTCTTAGCTAGGTTTCCTGTTAGAAATGACGGTCTCCTTCTCAGCTTGGGAGACTCTGCCGGAGAGACGAATCCCCGGCGGCACATCGCAGTCCGACACGCAGGAGCACCTCCCGGCCACCATGAGGCGGTAAACTATTAGGCAGACAAGGAATATTTAGAAGCTTAACGGACTCGCTTTATTTAGTGTCGTTCTCCGAATAGAATACAGCAATTTCTGGTCTGCTACGTACTTCGAGGCTTTTGTCGATAAGAAACAATTTTTTTCATCGGCTCTAAAGAAGACGAAAACGTTGAGACGCCAGCCGAATAAAATTAATTTATCAACGTAGTGTAAGCTCAACGGTGATTAACATGTTGATTATTCTGCATCCTATGTTGGGTCCATTTCTATATTTTTTATAGCCGAATATTTCATATGATAACCATAGTGATTAGCATAAAATAACAGCAAGTTTTGGGCGCGTGTGGCGCAGTGGTTGTAGGCGCCGTGCAACAACGATAGGATCGATCCTAGTGCCACTGGTCCACCAAGCACCCTCCGGGTTCAGCAGATTGGTACCAGCCTTGTCTGGACTACTGGTTCGACAAATTGGTAGGCCACTGCGAGTTAGTGTAAAGGCCAGATATGTATTCAATCACCTTCAAACGATGCTCAGTGAAGAGGAATTCATTGTGTATCCCTTATGGATTGATCAACGCCGAAAGCTTTATTTTTTCCATTAACAGTTAAGTGTTAGTCAAATTACCAGTTAACGAAATTCTTCGAGAAAAGGTTTTAAGTAAGTCATTAAGTAGAGAGGGCCGGTACTTTTAGTTTCACGATTACTAATTTGATATGATTTCGATCAACTGTCGAATGAATAAATATAGTGCGGCAAAAAAAAAATCTGGTACGCCCTAAACTGAAAAAGAACATTATGAGGTCCGCGCCAGTCCCCTGGTTGGAACGAGTATGGACCCTGTGGTGTCCATGCCGGGCGTTGAGGATTAAATGTAGGATAAATTTCAGTAAGTGAATACAAACCTTGTCTACATAATCTTAACACTTTTATTTACTGTCTTTTTCTTCTTAATGGCAGGGCATGTTGTGAAATATAACTCGTATGAAGTGCTGAGATATCTGCAAAACTCCGGACCACAGGTGTATGCAGTGGGGAACGAACACGTGCTGTTGTCCTCACCGGGGAGCAGCGCACTTCACCACTACACCATCCGGACCCATGTTCGTTCCCCACTGCATACACCTGTGGTCCGGAGGTTTGCAGATATCTCAGCACATCATACTTCTCTACATACTTCAATCGATTGATGGTAGTGGTTGACAAGAATTTTAATAAACCGTTAAAAACTGGCCATGATTGTCTCAATAACATTTTGACTCAAATTTGGTTACCACCTCTCAGTAATCCTTGGAAGCAATTCCACCTTTCATTCAGAAATTCGATTGATGTCCCTTTATTGATTCTGTGACTGATTCTTACCTACTCTGAAGCTCTTTATTGATTTTTCAGCGACATTTTTAATCGACCGGCGATAGAAAGCTCTTTTCTAAGAAGCCGTCGACAATTTCCATTCCTGTTTGTTCAAGCAGTATAAATTCTAACTACGACACCAACTGTCAACGAAACTGCATGAAGCTGTGTGAATCACTCTTTTCACTTTTCATCAAATAAAATATAAAGATTCAAACCGAGAAATTACGTCAAACTATCTACGACAATTGTGCTGGTACGCAGTCAATCTTTTTGCCAATGAGATAGGTGGTAGGGAAAGGTACTTTTGGAAAGCCGAGGTCCCGATTGGCTGCGGACTTTCGCAACTACCGCATCCATACCACTTATAGCCAGCTTTTAGCAAACTGCACTACATATGATTGATTTGAGCAAGAAGATCCGGTTCGATACGAGACGAGGACACCACATCGAGAAGAGGAACAACGGTAGACCACCGATAAAGATCGTCGGCTCTTATGAAGACGATGACTACGAAACATTAGCCGCATAAACATCTTATATCAACCTCGTGTAAGCTCAACAATATAAAAAAAACGATTCTTAATTGACTCCCTGAATTGCTGTTTTTACTAATTTTTTACCTACTTATATTTCAGGTATCTGATTAAGTGGTTTAGAATTTCGTAATGGAACCAGGCACAACTCCAACTGCCGAACTGTCAAACGTTCCTACTGTTTCTTCTTTCGGTGAACTTCATAGAGCTTTACCTAATTTTTGAATCATATAAAAGTTTTAAAGTGTTGAGAAAACCTACACGCCATATCCATAATCATATCCGTAGTAGCTTCGTTTCGCTCGATTTTCGCCATCGGCGATCACTGTGACGATTGTCGTCGCCATTGCGGTCACTGCTAGTCCAAGAAGCGATCGCATCTCAGGATGCATGAATTGCTGGATCGTTCAATTATCGAAAGATATAGACGAAGTTTAAAATGAAAGAGGTATCGACGGACATTTGATGACCAATCGAATTACGATGGAAAAAGAAAGCGCACGAAGCAAACACTCGTGTAATCGATCGTATAACGGGCGACATGGTAAAGTGTAAACATCGACTAGAGTGATGTGTGACAAAGATTATTCATCGTGAGTACGGTAATATTAATTCTTAGTGTAAACGATCTATCACAATTTAGTAATCTTAGATGCTTAATGTAAATCATTGATCGGGACTGTTGTAATCTTCTGTGCCTAGTTTATATTATAGACAGCGATTACGGTAATCCTCAAGAGTTTATTTTCAGCGTTGCCAATAAGATCTTTTTCTTAACCTTTTTATTTGCTTTCTATTCTTTTTAACGGCAGAGTATGATGCGAGATATAACTTCTGTAGTAGTGAGATATTTGCAGAACTCCTGACCGCAGGTGTCTGCGGTGGGGAACGAACGCGCTATTGTCCTTTCCGGGGAGCAACGCGTTCACCACCACACCATGTGGGTCCGTCACTTCTCCTGCCTCTCAGCTAGTTCTCACGATCTTTAACGGAAGCGGTACGAAATATACCGTCCTTCTCTACGATAAATGTTTGGCCACACGTCGCAGTACAGAATGTCTCTTGTTGCGGAAGTGTGTCATCTACCACACTCGCTGGACCTCTCCCTACTGACTACTACTTCTGTAGTCATTTTTAAAGCCTCCTGTCTCAAAGTTATAAAGGATAAAGATTTCGACATTGATCAATCGATGAAGGCTCACCATTCATTCAATGTTATTAGACATCAAAGTGATTGAATACATATGTAGGATATGCAGTTGCTTCCCATAACCTAACACTGCATCAGTTTAGTACTACTGCTCTCGCAGAGAAGTTTGGTTTCAGTACGGCGGCTCCTGAGGTATGAAATCTTGATGAATCGGCTCGGAATCGAACCGAGAACCACGTATCCATCGCAGAGTACCTCTAGCCACCTCGATGCATGCTCCTATGCATTTTGAGAATCTAGAGAAATCCCTACTCATCATATTCAGTTTTCCTGCTCAACATGATTTTACCGACGCACGTTCATCATGGATAGAGTAAAATGTCAGAAAACCGCTTAACTGACATCATGCATTTCCACTATAGTGTGGATACAGTACGTAGCAGATTTAATTCCTCAAACGGGCAGTTTAAAAAAAGTCTTACAGTGATTGCTCCACTGCAGTCCGTAATGAAGGCTCCGCAACATTCGTATGAATAAATGCCGATGGATTCAGAACGCTTCCCAGTAGACATGTCTGAAAGGTTTCGCACCTGGCACCGTAGATGAGAAACTGGTCACGCTTTTCTTTTACCTTCTCTCCCACTGGCGAAGATTTTTTAATGTTTGTCACGCATAACCTAAAAACGAGTCACACAACCAGGATTTGCTAGCGTTTAGCGCCTTTTGAAAATCTGAAACAGTGACATGCTTTAAACGCCGTTTCGAAAAAAAGTTAATCTTGTTGAGATAGTGAGAATCACTTCAGAAGATGACCGAGCTTCACCTGGCTTTACTTTTGCTATGCTATGAGCTCAAGATCGCAACTATAGAAACAACCAACCTTACTTCGGCCGAATTTATGTATCTTGAGAACAACAGTTAAGATCAGTCTCGTTGACGGGTGATTGCTGATGGCAAGTGTTCGATAGAACTAGTTGAGAGACAGGCGAAACGAAGGACCCTCATGGTGTGGTGGTGGACGCGCGACTCCCCGGAAAGGACAATAGCGCGTTCGTTCCCCACCGCATACACCTGCGGTCCGGAGTTTTGTAAATATATCAGATTTACAGAACATCTTTATATTTACTGTTAATACACCATTAAATGAACGGACGTGAGTAGTCGAATGTCGACCAATGTTAAATAAAAGGTTAAATAAATAAATTAAATGTTAAATAAATAAATTCCTAAATACAACCACAACGTTGTTGAGATATTTGCAAAACTCCGGACGACAGGGGTCTGCGGTGGGGAACGAACGACCTATTACCCTTTCCTTTGGGCTAACGCGTTCACCACCACAACATGCGGGTCATTCTTTTCGTCTTTCTTTCAGCTAGTTCTATCGATCAGTGTCAGCACCTATCACTCGTCCACGGGATTGATCTGGCCAAAACGGCAGCGAACAGTTAAGTTGAGGCTATAGTTGAAAGCACTGCGTTTACTTTTTATTTGCTGCGTAATAAAATTTTTTTACCGAAGGGTAAAATCCCCGAACATATTCCCTGCAGTCCCTGAATATTTTTAATTATATGAGATTTTTAAGACTATTTACCTAAGCTCTATATTTGGCGTACTGTAAAGTATACCCCTTATCAAGACAGAAAAGAACAATCATGAAACTAGCTTAAAGGAGCAAGAACTGAAGAGAACCTAAGAAGCGAAAAGCCAACGATGAAGCAAGTGATGGAAATGATCTAAAGTTCTGTAGATTTTCATCACGAAAATTGATACGGATGGAGAAGTTGTGAACAGAAGCTGAAGTTGGATTCAAGTTAAACGAGCAAAAGAAAGTACGCTAAATGTTTGGGAAAAAACATGTGCGAAAATCTTGACTTCAATTTTTTTCCATTCCAAAGTCTAGCGAACAGTAGCCACCCGAGATAAATATCTGGATAGGATGAATTGTGGAGCCAACGTACCAGTTCTAAGAGTTTTAAAATACAATTTAAGAAAAATATGAAAGACTAAGTTACCGTTAACCTATTTCTTTTTTGCATTTAGTGATAGCAGTGTTTCAATTCTATGAAGCAGCTCTCCTAAGTTCACAGTAACCACCACTTCCACCATCGAGAATTGTAAACTGCTTTCAGATGGTAAAAATGTCCAGCGAAAGGCTTGGTTTTTGATGAAAACAGTCATTCTCTGCCTCGTTTAGGCTTCCACAACTATTAAAAAGCTTGGTAAGTTTTTACAATTCTGTGACGAGCTCGGTTACCACAGGGCACTGGCAAGGCCCAGCAGTGTGCTTGAAGGTCTGCAAATTTGGCGCGCCTGCTTAGTACTACAACGATTAGGTAGCAAATACTGTACTAAAATGTCATTATAAATCAACCGACCTAAGCCGTAGGTAATTTTTTTTGAGACTATTCAGGGCACAAAAATCTAGCGTTGAGTAATTCGGTGAAGCGATAGAATAAATGTTGTGGATGATTTCGTTCGATGTTTCAAAACTAGATAGCAACGTGTCTTTATCGTTCGTTTAGATGGTAGAGTGGGGTGGTAACGATGAAATGTGAATTCGAGGTTGTGCAGGAATAGATAACGTCGTAAAAAGATGTGACGACAACGAATTTGGTAAAGTGTGGCCCGTCGTTCATCGTCACGTCGACATTGGTAAACATGACACATACAACGAACAAAAGAACAGCAAAAACGCTGATTCAAGCATCAGAGAGAGTTCTGGTGACGATGTGTACCGATAAAGTCAAAAATCATATACGACATGTTATTCAGCTGATCTACTACGTTGTATTCTTCGACGGCAATGAACACCAGTGTGCAGCCTCTAGATCGTGCTCACGGTTGCAATGAACTTCTGGGATTCATTGCGTGCTTTCCTCTGAAACGTAAATACAATTCAATAAATCCATTGGCTTAATGGCCATTGAAAGAGTGACGAACTGCCCAATTATGGAGAATGAGTACAGTTGAATAGATAAAAAGAAACCACAAAGAAGTTTTCAACGTTGGTCAACAATTTCTTATGAATTCACTACATGCTGCAGTCTATTTGTAGCGATGTAGAGTAGTTGAATGCATATTTGGTGTATACAATAGACATGTAGTGGTTTAACCGACTTCGCGAGAATGGAATGGTTGGTTCGCAAAGGCACTATAATCCAACCAGGGCAAAGCGCGTATTGCATGGCTCGACTAACCACTACGCTATACGCATCGCTAGCGAAAATTAGATAATTTTAAGGTGTTAAAAATTCTATACTGGTCTAGTTGCTGAAAATCCTTAAACATTTGAAGTGATTTTACTTCAGTCTTCTCAAGGAAACTTTTTCTCAAAGTTAAAATTCCACTTTTTTAAACGTTGATTACTTTGCCAAAATGATGCTAAGATATTCGCAAAACTCCCGACAGCAGGTGTCTACGGTAGGGAGCGAATGCGCTATTACTCCTTCCGAGAGCTAACGCGTTCATTACCACACCGTGCAGATCCCTCGTTTCGTCTGTTTCTCAACTAGTTTCTATTGATCAGTGTCATTAGCAATCACCCATCAAAAAAGTTAACATTGTGGTTTAGACTACTGCCACAGCTTAACTGGGCTCATTTGCCGATTTGGGCTACCCAGATCAACCCTGTTGGGGGGTGATGGTTGATGGCATTGACCGATAGAACTAGCTGAGAAACAGGCGAGACGCAGGACCCACATGGTGTGGTGGTGGTGAACGCGTTAGCCACCGGAAAGGGTAATAGAGCATTCGTTCTACACCGCAGGCACCCGAGGTCCTGAGTTTTGCAAATATCTCAGCATCAGTGTGGTTGAGTCACACATAATGCCCTGCCTTAAAAATTGTGATAGGGAGTAAATAAAAAAGTTACCGTTGATTACTTAGGTTTAAGTATTTAGAGTAGAGTGTGTCTTCGTAAGAATGGTACATATTTTGCATTGTAATTAAAAATGAAATATAGAGCAAACAAGAGCAATGACATAGTTCTTTTCGGCTGATCAGAGATAAGACATCTAAAAATTAACTAACGGCTTATTAATAGCTGGAATATCTAAAAAGAGATACTAGATATATTTTTAGAGCTTTTTAAAAGACTCGTAATAAATGTTTGCTGGACTAGTGCGTAGTAGGACAACACCATGTACCTGATATGGAAAGTATTCATCAGAAAGTTTGGCGCCGATCCGGTCGGTAGCGTGGGTTTTCCGGCGTCGAGAGCACTTGAGCAACAATACACCACCGGTACCGGCAACTTTCGTACTGAAATCGAGAAATTTTCGAGGATATTTGGCGGATGGATTTCCTGGGAGGCTTTTGGTTCATTTTGATGACATTTCACTGAGGGAAGACGAAAAGTGTTACGAAAGGATTGAAGCAGGAAACTAATTCAGCGTCGATTACTCCTTTAGAGAAACGCTACGCAGTGGAATCCATTTGCACATTTTTTGTACTTTATTAGGTCGTTAACCGACGAATTAGATTAGTGTTTTTATCTCGCCAGAAAAGCCTGCCATTAAAATACCGAACTCGGAGGGACGGAGGGCATGGTGAGCCTGGGGAGCGCGATGGAACCGATGACTATGTACTTACTACAGAACACTACTAAGCACAGCGCTAGACGTGCGCTTATGATTTAAGTGATGCTTTTTTTGAGGTCTTACTGTAAGTTTTAAATCTCTGCATGGTGATAGTAGGTTCTTCCAGGCTTAAGGGGAGCAGAATTCAGGCAGCCTAGGAACCAATTTGTTCACGAGGTTGAGAACAAGTAGTTAATAAAACGAAAAAACTCATTGTAAAAAAACTAAAAAGTTGTATAATCAGAAATTGCAAAGCTTTATCCTTAAGAGAATTTTCGTCTAGACTCTGTGATGCAGATCTCAATTGATCGCCTCGTTTCTTTCTTTTGTCCCGTCTTACCATGTTTATCTCCTTTCTCCTCTCTTCGTTTTAAAAGTTTTACACAACTTTGTGTCCCGTTTTTTAAAAAGTTCCTCCTTGATAGTAATTATTTATGAGTTTCCTTGAAGTGAAACATCTCGAAGTGATTAAGTCTCGATATTGAGTGGCGCGCCTCTACATAACGAATAGGATTAGAATCAAATCAAAAGCGATTACATACGCCTCATTACTGCGTGGATTTTGTAGATGAGCCTCCCGTTTCTGCTGATCCGAGTGGTCTTACATTTTTCGTATAGGTGTTATAATATTCAGCGTATGTTCGTGGATATATTTGCGTGCGTGTATATTACATCGTTTACGCCGACTCCGGACAGCTAAAAACCTTAAGAAGAAGAGGAGGGAAGAGAGAGGGCGGTTCGAAATCATCTTTAATAAGTGAGTCTCGTCTCTACAGTGATCAAACCCACTCGATGAGTTACCTTTTCGTATACCCAACCTTCATGAAGGAAGCGGCCCAATATGAAGTTATATTATGGTCGCTTAACCGTTTACCACTAAGTAGGCGATAATAATCTCATTTAGCTTCAGTTCAGGTAATGGTTTTGGTGGAGAGGAAACAGCACCGCGATATGTGTTTTGTTGCATTGCTCAAATGAAACTAGATTGTACT